GTAAGTGGACCTAAAACATTTCATCTGATAACGTAGTGCCGCCGCTGCCCGCCATTACAACTATTTTTCCAAGTATTTCAGACATTTCATGCTCCTTCTCGCTCTAACGCACATACAATTAAACAATAACAAAAACTTGACTCAGAATAAACAAGTAATTAGTCGGTCTAAAGTAAAAATAAAATGCACAACGCTACGCCACTTACGTCTGACCAATTTTCTAAGACAACGACTTTATAAAAGACATCGTCACCTCAATTCCTGTACATGTATGTAGCGTAAGAATTATAATTAAAAGAAATAAAACTGAGATTGCTGACTGTGAAAAGATGAATACAAATTACAAGAAAGCACTCAATGCAGTTACAGTTAGATAATTGGCATTCCATTTTTTTACGTGTGTTTCTACTTCATCTGCTCCCAATTTGGTCGTCGCTAAACACCATTGTCACAAAGTTTGTTACTTGTAATGTCTGTTTTGTCCAAAAGTACCATGCACTATTTTGTACTGTTCACGCGTCTCCGCCAGTGGGTCACTTTTAATTGAATTCGGTAAAAACGGTCATTATACACGCACGCTCAACAATAGAATATAGGTTTACATCTTTTCACCATCTTTGAAGGGTCTTGACTTGAGATACTTATTATACATGTCATTGTTTGAAAAACAAGCATCAAGTTATGGATGTTTATGAAGTAATTTCGTAGCTAATATAAAGAAATTGCTGCAAATCACAAATTATACACTTACGCAAGAACTTGTTGGACAGAGGAACGCAACGGAGTAATGTCTGAGATCCTTCAGATAGTTTGTATATTTACTGGCTACTTAAATAACGCCCGACGGCGGCTGGAATCTCGGTGGAAGCACAGGGTACCTAGGTACAACATTGTCATCAAGATAATTTGTTTTCTACCTAGACCGTGATTTATATTCAAGTATTCTCAGCAGTTAATTTATATCTACCGAATGCCCATAAAATACCAATAGAATTTATTCATGGTAACACAAAAATATGGGTCTTTCTTTAACCCTAAACGGTGGCAGTTGAATGGGTTGGTAGTCGCTATTCTTGTCGTTGCATCGCGATTGCGAACCAAAAACAATTGGATCTTGGAATTCTTGAACGTGCGCGCAACGATGCATATCATTGACCAGGGTGTAGTTTTATTGCTTTTGTATGCATTACAGACGTAATAGTTCACAATGAGTCGAATTAACGAACATTTACACAGTGCAGTTACTCCATTATGTAGAGCACCTTGGCGGAAAAATGTGAGTTATTTAGATCATGACATTTGATATAAATAAGAGTTTGGGAAGATGATTGCTAGAGTTATGGTTAAATTAAAGCAATTTTCTGCTTTGGTTTGTCTTTGAACTGGCATGTTAGAATTACAGCTAGAATAGAGCACGCGCGTATTTATTTTTACATAACATACTAATTTTCTGTTAACGAGGCTTATATGCAGATGCGACAAATTGAACATCCAATAAGTTAAAATAAACTAAATAAAATGCTCATGATTTCGTAAAATTGCATTTGATCCGATGTATATTCACGTCTGTGCTAGCGGTGCCGCATTGACACCATGAAATCAGATGGCCCCATAAAGCGCGGCAGGAAGAGCATCACGCGTGAAACGCGTTATTGTTTGGATAGTGCCGTTTCGCGCCACTCGCTCATCACAATGACTCACTGAGCTACGAATTCATCAACATATAAAACCATCCAATGTGTATTCATGTACCTAGAATTTTCTGAAAGTTAAAAGTTTGTCCACATCTGTAATACACATTTGCGCAGTCTCGTAGGTATCATATACTTCTACGAGGAGGCTTAGCGGAAATTGCAAATGCTGGAGTAGAACCGTTATCAATATCATTGTTGTTAAAGACGTTAAAGTCATTACATCAAAAGAATTATATAAACAGGCACGCATTTCCTATATTGAGGGGCGTGTAAATACTGTATGATGATACTCCGGCGCCGTTCGCTCATTCTACTTGACACATGATAAAAAGTCGCAAAGCATTATGCATTGAATAGAGACCGCAAAAAATGCGGTGATGATTACAACCGCTTTCGGAAGAAAGCTGAGACGTTTCGCTAATTACTAGCATAACAACATTTTTACTTTCGATTCTTCACACTTACTACTTATAGATTACAGCATAAAGTTTTAGTATTATTGCTCAGCACCGGGTTTATTGTCTTGTACTCATAATTTAATGGGTACCTTATGATCTTTATTTTGGATATCTCTAGTTTATGTGTATAGATAGGGAGTAATAACGATAAAACAACGTTATTCTCAGGTAAACGACTAGTAGCAATTGGTTTGCAGACTAGTATGTGTTGTACCCGTCGACAGGCACAATGGTCGTTCTGGTCCAGTCGTCGGGTCATGCCTGCCGCCTGCGCATCCGTCATACCTACCATCAAATCTGTGCCATTATGCTCACAGTCACCACATAACATTATTTATATAATGATGTAGGTATCACGACACGCAAATTTTATGTAATGAAAGCAATTATGGTGTATTTTGTAACATAGAGAAAATTCAACAATGTCTTTGTCCCAAACACTAAACTGACTCGAATTTTATTAGACTCGTGCCTATTACATACAAATAGCATGTTCAAAGGAGTTCAAAAATAGTACAGTTTAAGAATAAATTACTGCAATTAGCCGTGTCCTTCCAAAATCTCATTAGTGTAGGATTTATGTAGGTCTATGTCATATCAAGCATATGTATATTTGTAAACACACGAAATCAGATTACCAACGATTTGAATATAATGTTGTTGGTACCGGTACCGAGTGCTTCCTCTCAGTGCGTCGCGAGGCCGCATCCGTTTTCAAATGTCGGGCGCATAGTACCGCGGTAAAAATGTTAATGTTATTGCAATTCCATTTCGAGGCCTGAACAATTTCTGGTTTTGTTCAATCGAGGACGATGGCACGTTTATTTATTTAAAATTATATTTTAATATACAATTTCAAGAACTATTAGCGAGCGACCCGCTTGCAAAGCTGTAGATGCTTACGATAATGTTAATGTTAAGTCTGCAAATAAGTAGGTAGGCTATACGAATAAGATGTTATAATTTAGGTTTTTTTATGACTTGTAAACTGGATCACAACAAAATATCCTTTTGTGGAGTGGCCTGATTACCTTTTATATTCTTGTTAAGTCGTTTAAGAATACCTAAACAAAAATGAAGCTTTGAAGTCAAGATACTAAAACATACATATGTCAATTTCTTCGATATTAAGTTTTTATAAAAATTGTTCATCTCTTACAAAGTCATAAATTAGCGATGAAAGTGAAAGATCAAATCATAAACGGCTGATATTACGAAAAAGTTTATTAACAAAATAAACACAATTATTCTCGAGTGGTCGCGAGTCTGATTAGGAATCCGTAACAACTTAACGATAGCGGTTTTCCGCCAGCCAACAGGCGTTGTTAGAATTCCTATGACTCATATTATTGTAGAATATAATGAGCCATTTTAATAAAAATAATGAATTAAGTATATCATCAGTGCGAGATCGTAGCTGTAGTAACATGATTTTCTGGACCAAGAAACTACTCTCCTACTATGAAGTGTAGGGTTTCCATGTAAGGGTCACATTAGGATAATACAGCAAAATAACTTTTTACTGGATAATGGGTAGGTATATATCTGGGTACTGGGTAGGTGCCCAGTGTCGTATTTGTTCTATGAACCTATTAAGAACTGTTTTTTATAAAGCTAAAGGTATATATCATAAGACGATTAATGAATTTGTCGAAAAACTGTAAGTCGGTTGCAGTAAATTCAGCGAATTACATCTATCCACTAGATACCTATTTTAAAAATCACTGAATTTGTGTTTTAGGCATTTAAAACATACATATGTAGTTAATTTTACAGTGAATAAGCCCTTAGTATTCACGCTATTTATGCGTTCCATATCTTACAAAGTTGTAAATCTCAAGGGGATTGCATCTATTTTGTTCCTAGATCGAAGTCGTACGGAAGGCTTTTACTAACCGTTACATCTAGGTATCTAGTTACCTAGATATAGTCAAAAATACATTATCCAGGTTACGGTTCACTTTATAAAGTCATTATAACACAGACCCATATTTTACCAACACGATAAACTCGTTCCTGCGTTGATTAATAGTTCTTCCATCAATACGATTTGATGGAAACATTAAACACTTTTTTTATACAAAGTTTAAAATTAACTGTTGAGTGTTGAGCCAAGAGCCATAAAAATGCAAAATTGTTTTTAGTTTTAATAAAGGCAAGTGTCGAACTGTATTGACCTCAAATATTTTATGTTTGTTGTTTAATTTTTATATACATGTACAATTGTACATACAAATATTTTGTAAGTTTGTGTGTCGCTGAACTGCTAAACGACTGTATCGATGTTGACGTATTTGCATGTGAGATTACAACCGATACCCGGTAGTTGGCCAGGACGATGGATATATGTATTTATATGTGAATATTTATTGTAAAGTCTCGCCTGTCAAATTACACTAAATACTAATTTGTAGTGGACATACCTACCAAGATATTGTTTAATCAAACATCAGAAGTGGACCTGCTTGTTTTCCTTCAAGTAGAAATTATTTACTTAGTTGCTAGTGACTACTTACTCTTTCACTAGGTGACGACGAGTGAACTAATTCCATATATTATGTATGATGCGCTACACCCGTCGCCCGGGGCCTGAATATGATTGAGGTAATATTAGATATCTCGCGGTCCACGCACTGGTTCCACACGACCACGACTTGTAAAACGAGCGCAAGGGAGATCCCATTACATCGATGATACTATAATTATTGGAAGCAACAACGGCTCAGTGAGCAAGTCATTGGGTTAATGGTACGCTCGGATCGCTGCATTGCTGTTGCATCCGAGCGTAACGTTAACACCCCTATATTTGTTATCAGAACTGAATCTCTAGATTCTTTGCGGTTTGCAGAAGTACTACATCTGATTGGAGAGCCGGACTTTCGCGACGTAAGACTGCGGTGGGAGTACGGAAAACCCGACGAGGAGGACCGGCCGAAAGTTTTGGCGTTCCAAGTGCATTACTGCGAATTACAAGCATGGGGCCAGTACAGATGCAGAACAAAGGTAATACACCTACTTTTCACGGGATTAAAAAATACAATGGCATACGCGTTTAAAATAAAAGCTACGAAGCTTTACAATGGTATATGTTAGCAATGAGTTGGCACTCCAAAACGGGAGATAATGGGCCGGAGTTTGCGCGTCGAGCGTGACTGCGGCGTGACTATGACAAGGAACATGCCCGCCAGTCATTACTGTATTTACGTGTTAATATAGCACCGCCGCCAATGTTTGTAGCCTTTCTCTTTTATTGAATCAGATTATATTTAAATATTGACATTATGGACTATTCTACTGCTAAGCTTCAATAAACTATATCACGAGCAACTTTAGCTAAGGATACCATAAACATTCCATATCAAACGGTTTCCTATTGGAATCGCTTATCTATGATGTTTCTTTGGTTTTACGTTTAAATATTGTATTTCAGGTAATTGATACAATGGAAGAAGAAAAGACTACGAAACCATCTACGAGCACGACGGAAGCGACAGCCACTACAACCCATCCCCTCGGTGCAAGGCGCGGGCGCATGTATAGCACACGCATAATCGGCTTGCGGATGGCGACCACATACTCCTTCGAAGTCAGACCAGTCCATCGAGATGGTCGAGATTTAGCTGATCCAGAATCTATTAGTTCGAAAATTATAATCGTTCCCACTAAAGGATGTAAGGAAGCGTTTTAGTTATTTTTCTCTATTTTGCCACCACAGACTAAATCCTCTTCTAAAAATTTCAAGCATTATTTTGACACCTGTTGTGGACTAAAAGTAAGATACTAAAATATATCCCCTTTACAGTTTCAGCTCGAGCCACCCAATGTTTGCCACACGCAAGTGAAGTTGAGGTCTCTACGGGTCCCTTTTTCGGAGGACGTATCGCTGTAGAAGCAGCGGATGGCGGTCCTGAGAGATGTTCCATTCAAGGCAACCCAAACAGTGCACAAGATGCGTACATATTGAGGATACACCACGACGAGTGCGGTTCAGAAGTTAACGACACCACTGTCGCTACCTACGTCATCGTGCAGGAAAACTTGCCCATACTGACGCATAGCACAAGACGGTAAGATACCTATTAGAAAATATTTTCAAATCTGTCTTTAGGAAAACCAATGGGACTTGTTAATAAATCATGAATCTGTCTTTCAGATTCCTAGTTCTCTGCACTTATAAACCCGAGACTTTAACAGTTCGAGCTGGAATCAACTTGCCGAAATCTAACCCTGGAGATGTGCTCCATCACCACAAATCTTCAAGTGGATCCGTCGAACCTTACGAGAATCAAGACATGGACTACAATGAACTACAACCAGCCAGGCTTGAAGCGAGAAAGGAGGAATCAGAACAAAGTACGTAATAAACGGTTCTTTAAAATTGGCTCAGTTATGATGGATTGTCGACCTTTTTACATTAATTTATTATTCCAGGTGCGTTCGGTGAGGTCAGTTTGGTGATGTTTTTAGTAGTGGCTGCGTTTGGCGGCATCGCTCTATTAATATGGAAGGTGGTACCGCAAGCTGACAGAGACAACATATCTATTGCCACCGTCTCATCTCTAGCACGAAGCGGGATCTTCAGTAGGCGGAACAGAGATCGATTTTCAGACCAAAGCTCGGTATATTCGATTTCATTATCGGAAAAAGATGAAGGAACACCTAAAAAACCTAATGAGGGCGACAACACGTCTGAGGCGTGAATATTTTAATGTACTATTGTGATTGATATAATTTAATTATTAACTTTAAGTGCACGATCTGTTTGGTACGTGGTTCGTACGGTAAATTAGACTGTTTATATAATTTAATACCTAAAACAAAATTGACCAAGGCAACCCGTGATCAATTTCATTCCGAGACCGATAACTGGTTTCCAAAGACGTATACGTAAAATAACTTGAAAGATGAAAGGTTTTTAAAATAAAAGTATATTGGCACATTTTAAATTCGTGGCCAGTATTTGCTTTGCACTAGAATCACTAACATCAATGCTATGATTGCCATAGATATATATCTATTTAAGAAATTCAAGACTTGTGTGAAGTGAGCATACGAAACTACACACCGTAAATAAATTTGGGAATCTACTGATGGGGATTTGATGATATTTGTGTTTAATAATTTATTATTGGCAGTAAAAGTATGTAGTTAAACAAAACTGTTTGTTTTTTCGTGTGTTCGTTTGCATTGAATTTAGTTTTAAGTTAATACAAATAGAAAAATGAGTGTGAATAAAACAAATATTGTGAGACTTACTGTATTTTATTTGAATACGTCTCGTGGTTCGTCTAGAACAAATATTTGTTTTTCCATCTTTACTTCAGGAAATAGAAATTGTCTGACAACATCGTTTAGTTCCTCTAAAGCTATCTGTGCGTGGAGTCGAACTGTTTTGTCCTCATTTTCATCTCCATATAGACTTTTCAAAGTCCTATAAATTGGTAGAAGTTGATCCTTTAGTTCCAGTAAAGTCTCTTTGCCCAAACCTTTGATCAGACTGGCGATAACCATCACTGCTGCTCTCCGACACTCTATAGCCTTGTCGGTTTGTATTATACTCCAAATACAATAAAGTACCTTGAACAAAATAACATAATGGGTAGTATAACTAGTTAATACTATGTAAGTTTAACTGTTTAAGTACATGTAAGCCTGGGTAGTTCGTAAGATACTTAGCATATTTAGATTTTAGACATGTTAATTGTAAGTCACGGGGTGACATTATCACTGTGTGATTAAATCCCATAAATAAATAGATTAAAAAAAAAAACATAATGGGTAAATACGAATAACATAATAGGATACACGGTTTTTTACAAGCCATGATACATTGTCTTTTTGGGTATAAATAAGGTAATAATAAGTAGGTACATATAATTACCTATTCAGAAAAATCGAATACAATAATTTAGGAAAATAGTTATGAGAATAACCAAGCTGTGTACAGCGGGGTAGTAGCTTTACGCCACAATCCTACTACGTATAGTAATAAATACGTATAGTAGGGCTAGGGCATTAGGCGCGTACGAAGCGTAGGTCTGTATCACAGCATACCACCGTGTATCACGATAGTATGTGCCGTGCCTGGGCCTAGTAGTAAGTGCTGGTCTGTATCCCAGTATACCACAGAGCACCAAGCCTATACGCATTATACGCTAGGCAAAGCTAGGATAGGATATTATAAGTGTTAGATTAGCTAGGATAGTGTAGGATAACGTTAGCTAGTAGTCATTAGGATTAGGTAGTCCTGTACAGTAGGATTGTAGCGTAAAGCTATTACCCCGCTGTACAAGCTGTAATGAAGGTAAGTTTGGAGTTTGGAATTACCCCTGACTTAAAAATGGTGACCTTGGCTTAATTCTTTTCAAAGTGTTTGTTTAATAAATGCGTGTCACTTCCGATAACAAATCATTTTAAACCCGAAAAAAGAATGAATTCTACGTCACTACTTAGGTACAGATAAGCCTCTAGACACACGACGTTTAAATACGGTTCGTCTGTTTCGAGCCTTAGACACTCACCTCATAAATAATACTTCCAATCCTGTAGTGCAGCACTAAGGCTATTTCTGCCAAGTTGGACAAGGCTGACGTCCTTATGAGAGGGTCTCCATCATTGACCGCACACAGCATCGTGTTCAGTAGGATCGTTTTATGAACTACTGCCATTTCACCTATAACAAATACAAATATTTTAAGAAATTAATCAAAATGTTTGATTTCCTACTCAGGAAGATAGCTGTACACACGGAAATGAGTAGGAGGGCAATGTTAACCAAAGAATCGCCAACGTAGTGCGGAATGCCGAGCACTCGATTCAGGTGATGCCCAGGTCGTTTAAACATTTAAGGACGTTTGCATTGGGAGCTGACTATTAAATCAGAACTAATAAAAAAGAAATCGCTAAACATTGTGTGTGTTCTAAGTAAAAGTCATTAGACAGTAACAGCTTAGCTAATTTTGACCAAAGACTTAACTCTACACTAGCGCCATCTCATGAGCGCAAAATCTAAAACTCCTTGTTTCGTACCCTTCTGCAGGGACATTCACTTACCTAATCTTTTAGTAACTTTGACAATAACATCGCCAATTTTCATTCGCAATTCCGCATCCCTGTTTTGACTTTCATTAGTTTCAATGTTGCCTTGCATTGCTATTTGGTCTTGTAAGAACTCTTTGCAAAGTATTTGTAGCACATCCTCTGTGCAGTGTGTGCATAGTGCAGCTAGACCATTGACGGCAGAGAGGTAGATGTAGGAGTCTGTGTCTTTTAGCTGTTCCTGAAAAAAAAAAACACAATAATGGTCTTGAGTGATCGCATATGTGACTGTAGTTTTTTTGTCATTAGGGCTTTTCGAGAATTCTAAGTAAAAGCTCGAAGTTTAAAGTTGGGCTCAGTTTATACCATTGGACTCATAACTGACGAAAACAACTTCTATGGCAGTCATAACTAACTCATGAGATTTTTATACTCTTTTATACTGGAGATTATTGACTGTACTTATGGAAATTATTATGGTTTGTAACTTATAAATAGGAATATAATCAAAAAAATACCTGAAATATACAAAACACATAGTGTTTCTTTGAAATAGTCTCAGCGTCTCCCGCATCAATTAGCTTTGTGAGTTCAATGATCCCATGAGCTCTTACAGGCAGCAACTCATCAAATGTATCAGATATTGCCTTTTCACATGCAGAGTCCTTCTTCTGAGGACCCTCTGAAGATATCAGTGATAAGGCCTCTTTGCAAAGTATACTATTTAAGTTGGAATCATTCTTACTCATTCTTCTCAACACCGGTACCAAGTTTCTAAACCTTGGATCAATATTTTCAGCATTTGATAGAATAGTGTTGAGTAGTACTAAAGCTATGGTGACACACTCATTATCCACATCTGCTTTCTGTTTCCAAATAAAATGTTCAATGAAATCAAAAACAATCATTGGGTCTGACTTCAGTGACATCACTACTTTAGGTGAGGTGGATATTTCTGACAGTAGTTGCAGGATCACTGCATACTGCTCATCAATTGCATCAATCAATACAGGATCATCCTCCTCTGTCAGTAAGATATCCTTATTTTCTTTCTTTTGCCTTTGATCATTAAGTTCTAACAATATTCTTAAAGCTATCATAAATATATTTGTAACAACAACATTATCTGTAACACTCTTAAATAAATCCATAAAATATATCACAGCTTCTTCTTTAGAATAGTCTTCACAGGTTGACACCGATTTTATGGCAACACCAGCATCATACTCTTTAACAATAACTGCAGAGGAGTTCTGAACAACTTTACCAAATAAAAATGTTTTAATCAAGTCATAGAGTTCATCTTTTCTTAATTTTTCTAGACTTTTAATGATAATATCTTTTAATTTTATTTTCATGTCATCATTCTTTGTACACTTAGTTCCTATACAATAAAGTACATATAAGTTTGGTAGCAGTAATTGTACTTGCCAGTCTAGCTTGGTAGTACAAACACAAGCATGTAAAACTTTAACTTTTTGTTCCACTTCTTGTGGAGACAATATTATAGTACCAGGCAAACCACTTGTGGTTAAATAATTATAGTCAAAACTCTGAAATACATCATTAGTAAGTTTAACAACTGGTTCTGTTTGTGGGAACTTTTCATTTAAACTTAAAACACATGCTACAGCTGCAGCTAGGTAATGTGTGTTGTTCACTGACAATATTTCTTGTAGTTGATTACAAATGTTAGCTAAATATTCACTTTCTGTACTGGTCCCATGTCTTGCAGCTATGATTCGACATATCATGTCAATCTTTTTCCATTCAAAACCAGTGTCAATATCATAACTCTCTATGAAACATCGAATTAGGCTGAGCAGACCACCTGGAGATATCAAATGTTGGCTCAGTTCCTTAGCTATGACTCTTTTAGCAAACGCTGGAGGGGAAGGATCTGATCCACTTTGGAGTACCAACAATTCCTTCATAAGTACAGGTTGAAAACAATTAGAAACTAGATGATTATAAACATTTAAATACTTTTTTCTATCTTCACTGAGCTTGTCATACATTTCTTGTGTCATTGTAAAGTTGCTGTAAGTTCCTGGTTTTTTAAATGGAGCAAATGATAACTGTATCAAAGCTGCCAAGTAGTCTGAGAGGTGTAGAGTTATAATTATGGTTTTTAGGGCAGATACCGAGTAACTTCTGGTAAAAAAATCTGTGCATGCCACTAGCATCTCATATTTCTGTTCATCAGTCAAGACAAGCTTTGGAAGTACTGCTCCAGTAATGCACCTCTTAGATAATTTTATTCCCAACCCCGGTATTAAACATGGTGAAATACCAAGCAATGTTACTAACTGAAAACATGTCCGCAGCAGCTTTTGGTTCTTTACACTAATCAGAATAGTTTCATCCTTCTTTAATTCACTTATAAGTTCATCTATGGAAAGGAATATCTTCTGTAGAAATGATTTTAAATTCATATAAGTTTCATTAGACATTACTTGATTTTCATTTTCAGCAATATCTTTTAGGACTGTCACAAATTCACAATGACCTTCTGAAATCATAATTATGATATTATAATTGCGTGAAAAGTAATAAAATAACATATACCTAGGAATGTAAATAAACTAAATTCAAGTTCATACCTGTATGAGTTAAGTTTTCAATTGTTTTGAATATCAATTGAAGGTGTGACATCTTTAACGTTTTAGTAAAACTGATTTCCTAAGTTTAGTTTCAACTTACAATGGAATTGTGATTTCGAATATTGCTTAAATAAACGCAAAAGATTAAAACGAGAATAAACAAACAAGCACAACAAGCACTTCAATATTTCAATTTATGATAATGACATTCATGACATTGACAAGTTTGGCATTGAGAACTTTTAATTTAGAGGTGACCAAAAAACGCCTAAATTATGCTAATAAACCTTACCTCGCAATTGTCCGACAACTATCTAGCTTTGTCTCGTACAAATAGGATGCAGTTTAAGTCATTATGTTTAGAAACTAACTATCGTTAAAATTGAAGAAAAGTATTATTAGTCGTTCCGTCAGTGTACTACAAGATTTAGGCCCGTTACAAGAATCCAATCAATATCTTTTCGCAAGTTAGCTGTCATATTTGACAACTATAGTGTCAAACGATTAACAAGCAAAAAGTGACAAATAATTTACCGTATCGAAATATAGTAGTAACCGCGGCTTAGAATTACTTTGATTTAGTGGTTTAGGTATTGATATTACAGAAAGAAATCCATCAAAATGCTGATTAAAGTGAAGGTAAGATAATTCTAATTGTAATCTGGTAGTAGAACTCCTTACTTTCAAAATTATAACCTCGTTTATTTTTACAGACGCTTACAGGAAAGGAGATTGAAATAGACATTGAGCCTACAGATAAAGTGGAGAGGATCAAAGAGAGAGTGGAGGAGAAGGAAGGCATTCCACCACAGCAACAACGTCTTATTTTTTCCGGGAAACAAATGTAAGTGTTGTAGCATCCATGTTTCTTTGTCACTGGCCATTACCTACACGTATATTATTTATTTGTGATAATACAAATTTACTAAAGCAATAACCGTTCATAAGGCGAAAAATGTCTATGTAAAAGTTGTAAGTTTGTATGAATAATACATTATATATTTACATACCTGCCACTAAGTTTTTGCCTTTAAAAAACATGACAATCATAGTTGATGTTTAGTCATATATAAATATGTGTTATAAGAATTATAGTTTTTAGAGAACTAGTTAGTCTTATTAGTTAGTTTTGTAGTTTTATTATTAAGTTTGGGAGAATTTTTTGTAAGTTTCTAAGTATACAGTCTTAATATAGGCACCACAAAGCTTTGATAATGGATTAACAATAATGTAATAATGTAATAATGGATTAACAGTAATGTTGTTGTATTCATTTATATACTTTAAGTATTTCCTATTTCATTTTAGGAATGAGAATCTGAAGTCAAGTGTCATTAGCGTGTTTAACCCGTTGAAATTCATCCCCTAAATTTGTTCATACAAAAGTTGTCTCTAAACATTGGAAATAAGGTCTATAATGTAGTTTGTGGAGAGCTGTCACCGGTGACCACTTAGGGATATATGGGTTAAAGTATTTTGATTTAATGAATTGATTCATCATCATTATATCAGCTACAAGACAAATAATACTTCCCACAGTAACTTCCAGCAGCTCCTTGGATTGCTTGCATGACTAATATTTGTGTATTATTCTTCCAGGAATGATGAGAAGACAGCACAAGACTACAAAGTACAAGGAGGCTCCGTCCTCCACTTAGTGTTGGCCCTGCGAGGAGGGCTGTGATCTGCCTTGTGATAGTTCCCATCTTATATTTATAACAATTAATTTTATTTTTCAAGTCTTGTATAAAGTGATTACATTGTAAAGTTTCTTTCAATTTACCTTAAGCTTGTATTTAAGAGAAAATGTCAGCCAAAACTGTTACCACTTAGTAGATTGTTTAAATGAAATGGCAAGTTGGAATCTCCAACAGGTCTGTTTGGCTGCATACTCAAACTTTATTCATTGTAACACTTCATACAATTGTCTGCATTTGTCATCTTTTTATTTAAATTTTTAAAATGATCCAAGTATGATAATCCTAGATATAAAAAGGTGTACTTGAAAGTTTATAATTAAAACCAAGTGATCATTTGAGCAGGTATTTATTATTACACCTATAACATTGTACATATAGTCAAAGTATAATTTACACATATTTGCGCTGAATGAAGTTCACATAAAAATAAAACATCTTTGGTTCACCACACAAATTAACAACATCAATTTTCTATTTTCTCCTAATTACATTAATTTACCACAAGCCTTTCATTTCACAATTTAAAATTATAACTAATTTGAGCATTTCACTACTCATGAAATAGCTGCAGTGTTGCTACCACAGACTCACACAAAGCATGCAGAGCCTACAGGCCTACACTGTTGCATTAGGTATTACATAAAAGTACACTTATATATTTCTGGATTGTATAATAGGTCATTACAAAGAATAGATCAAACATGAAATGACAAACTACTTTATTTTAGAATTGTTTTGGTGGATTTTAAAAACTACCAATCTCTAATATTATCAAAATGATTAAATGACTTTGGGACGGAAACATTTCCTTTAAAACATCAATATTATTGATCTGCAAAATATTTAATTTTCATTAATTTGTATTCAAGATTAAGATTTAAGAATCGAATAGTTAATTTTAAATGGGAACATTTGAAAAAATTGAGCGTTACAAGGTAGGCGATGAGCGTTCCAGTTTGGCACAACATAAGTTACTCACAAAGACGGAAAATGCATGAAGAGACCATGTTTCTACATCTAGAGATTGCAGTATCCAACGTTAGTATAGCCTCACTTCCAACCCGATGTCTGATCCAACCCTGTTTATATTCCACAGAATGACGTCAACGATTTTTTGGAGAACTAGTTTCCCAAAATTAGAGAATATCATAAGAAGTATTTGTGCTTGCAAGTATAACATGCACATGTATGGCAATAGTTAGTTATTTATTAATAAACTTACTTTAGAATATTGAATTGCATCGCCCCCATTCATCCTAGACTTACACATTGAATGTAATTTCTATATGTTCGAGTTTCCAATAAAACACTCCACTGATCTTAGACAAGATGATATAAACTAATTACACAGAGCAGAGCATTATCAAAATTTGCACTAGTTACGACTAAAAATTGTTCTTGAAAAATAACTAAAGGAGATCCTTTCTGCATTACAGTTGAACGGCACAAACTGTGAAAAGAAAATATAAAAGTTGTAAAAAAGATTACAAAAACATTAATATTAACAATGACTTTTATAATATCATTGAATATTAAGACAAAACTTTGTCTCTGTTACTTCCGTAAAGTCCGCGGTCCCATCTTTCTCTTCAGTAGAATTTATCAAAATCGCTCTAGCTGTAAAATAGACATAGATACACAGGACCTTTGCAGATCTAGGTCTAGGTATTTGTTAACACTAGTAACTAGACCAATCACAGACGTTGCGTTTAAATTGATAAATGATGCTCTTACGAAATGTCACGAGGTTTCATATTTGGGTCAATGTTACAACTTGTACTGTGTTGTGACTACTATAGAGACGGGGACTACGCATGATGAGTATTTAAGAACAGAAAAAGCTTACCTTAGCAACTCAACCATCGGAGAGTGCCGGCGTGACCCAACCGTACTTGTCATGGGTTTTGACGACGGAACGGAATGCTTCTTCTGCGCGGCGGCGCGTGAACTCGCACGAGGGTCTCGGTGGCGCCCGCGCCACTCTGCCCTGACCCTTCACTACGGACGCCGCGAACTGCATAACCACAGCCTCTACCGTGTACGCGGAAGCCCAGCCGCGCGGGGTTAGCAGTTCCATACAAATTGCACCACCTAAAACAACAGACAGAAATCGTAAAATAATTTCCATTGGTAGCAGATGGTCTGAGTTCGATGGACGTATCATACCTATTATACGTAATCGAATTACAACCACAAAGTAGCTTTGCTGTCCATTAGATCATATAGTTCATATAGTTCACAAGCTTGATTAGGTTAGTAGGTAGTAATAGTTAATGAATATTCCACTCTTAATTTTATAGTTAGGTAGGTATATTAAAATAATCAGAGAATCAGTGTGATTATTGGCGGACGAGTTGTGAAAGGAAATACGAATGTTGTCTTAGCAGTGATTAAAACAACTTTCTGCTTGGTTTATGACCCTAACTATAGTTACGGGGTCCATAATAGCTTTGGCCTTGTCTTGAATACATCACTCACCTTCCATAACGAAACCCTTCTCTATCCGAGGTTCGATGACCCTCATAAAGGGCGGTGCGAAGGGGAAGTTCTCAGGGAATATCAGATGCAACAGTATGTGTGGAATGTGAAGCTCGCGGAGATCGCTGGACAGCTCACTCTCCGGATCTATCTGATGCAGGCGGACGTGCCATTCGAATAGATTGTCGTTTACAAGTTCCACCTGGAAAGAAAAAGAACATTGATCAAATATTTGCAATTTTACCGGTTGTTTATTTGCCTACCTACATGAAAATTTTAAAGAGAGAAATAAGTATATCTATTTTTAAGTGTGGGAGAGCCATGCTTCGGCACGAATGGGCCGGCTCGACCGGAGTGATACTACGGCCTCACAGAAAACCAAATCGGGCCCTCTCTCTTGCTCCCTTATAGGTGCTGATACTAGCCGCCGGGGTGGTTTTATAAGATAAAATTGCCTCTTTAATTCTCTAGTCTTTCTCCTCAAAGTACTAAGTAACTTTAGAAGGTTTCCTCCTCTCTTAAAAAACACGATAGTAGTTTCTGTCAATTTGAATTCAGAGTATCAGACTTCGAAGTAGAGATATAAATTTATCGGGACCACGAACAAGAACTAATGACTCACGTGGCGTGTTGTTGCTACTGTTGCAGTAGCAGGTTAATTACATGACAGGGTCGTTAAGTGTACCCCGTATGTGTCTAAGTAGTGCCTAATATACTTAGGAGTCTGTACACGAACACCACATCCGCTGTGGACTAGATTACTGTCTAATAAGGACCCGTATTTGAAACCAGCGAAGCGTGTGCCATAAATTATAAAAATTGTGAGAAACTTAATTTGCGATGATTTATTTATTACCTACTTAAACAACATTAATATACCTTGCCATACAACTATCTACTCAAGTAAGTGACATAAATCAGTAATTTCATACAAAATTAGAATGTAAACATGAGTAACTATCGCGTATGTTGACCTTAGTCCTTGTGTTTTATGACTTAAATGTAAAAGTAACGGTTGAGAAACCAAATCAATTAAAAAATAAAAAGAGAAACATATAGCATATTTCGTATGCAGATTTTGTGGTGCATGATAAGTTTATCATGTGGACATGGTCATAAATTTACTTGTAGGTACTTCAGTCTTAAGCGGAATTTTATTTCACACCTTTTATTATCGTTCTAATTACAACTGCATTTAATGGCGGTAACCTACCTACCTTTTCGTTATATTTTTAGAATGAACACGTTTAAATTAAACAACAAAATGGGATCACACACAACTCACCGTGAATACAGGATCAGGCCTGCTGTTCTGTATTCGTTGGATTTCTTTTAATTCTTTCATAAGTCTGCGCGTACGCACAGCAGCAGCGCGCTCGCGCACCTCATTGGCTCCGCCTGCCTTCTTCTTGACAAGGCTTGTTGCCGTAGGACTTGCTGGCAGACTTGCAGCTGCTGCCTCTGCCGGACTTACACCATCCCTGAGAACATGGAGAAATATTTCATTAAATTAATAATTAGGAGCATTACATAGGAAAGATGAGCTATATATATTAACTGACTAAATAAGTTTTTTATCATTAATAACGAATAGTTCATTAGTAAGTATGCCTTTGTGGAAGGATACTAAATAGCCCAAATTCCTTCGAACTCATTCTTGAACGAAGTAGCAAGACTGCAAGAGGTGCGAAGATGTTTTGTGTTCAAGTGTGTTCTTGGGTAAATAAATCGTGACTGCGGTCACGCGTTGTTCTGCTTAGTAGACTCTTCGGTGTGTTTATATCATTGACCTACATGCATTCTTATGTATTACTTAGATATTAATATAGACATGTAGACATATGTTATAACTATTATTAACTATATACCTAGCTGTGTACAACTTTTTTAGGGGGGAAAATCATAGAATGACTCCTCCCGCCTAGGTGAGATGGGAGGGGGTGTCAGACTCTTACTGACTAAAACCACCCCGTTCCTTCTCCTGCACGTCGAGCCGGACAGCTATGTACAACTAAGACGACATTTTACGAATAGATGACTTTATCATAGCCAAATAAATATAACTACCCACCTATATATTTTATTATCATAACAGTTTAATAACACAATAATTAATAATGTGATTACAAAACACATGTAAGTGCCTACGCATACTATCTAAAGGAGCATGACTTAATGCATTTACTCTCATTTTCCACACGATTGTTCATTGTCTCGATGCTTTCTTATTACCTGCTACAAGTTTTCAGTTATTCAGATCGATGTCATATTTTACACAATTGAAAGAATTGTGATATTATCCAAATTTTCTTTATAAGTATATTTGCCAATAAATTCGTTACCAAATAACTAGAGTCAGGTAGGTGTAGTAGAGTAGAGTAATAAATGTCGTGATAAATTGCCAACAAAGGGATTAGTGGGATTTTGTCTTGTGACTAAAGATCGTAGTCAGTAGCCAACACCTTGGTCTGAGACTGACGTTCATAAACACCTTGACAGTCGCCACTTGAGACGTTAGGTTGGTAACAAAGACTTGAGAGAGGTCATTAAAACGATGTCTTCATACCATGAACGCAAACAGCATTGTTCTCAACGTGACACTTTCGCAATTCGCTTCGGGTACACTTGCACATGTTTATCTTGATGTATTACGAAGTTTACTTTAACATTTAACCTGCGAACGTAATGAAGATAAAGCATCTTCGCTTTTGTAAGGAGAATTAACTTTTGCTCTTTGCAAATCATTGCAGTTTTAAAAGAAAATTATTCATTCATGATTTTTCTTAGCACTGTTTATCTACCTTCCTGGTATCTTCGTAAACAGTACTGGGGTTATATGTCGGTAGATAATAGATCAATTCTTCGATATTCCATACACAATAAAAATAAAAACATTATTATTTAACAGACGTAGATACAGAACTATTGTGTGATAAATAAATTGCGTTGTATACTGACTTCTAACTAAACTTTATGAATAAAATATAACTAAACGTGCCTTTTGGCGTTCTATTTTTTTTAGCCACGCACAGGATCCGCAGTAACTTCTTGCGTACATAAAGGAAGATTAAAAACCTTTATGTTTACTTCATAAGAACAAAGAGCTTCTGGAAACATGCAAATTGAATTCATTGAATGCCCTAGTTAGTTAGTATGCGAACCATAAAGGCATTCTCGATGCGAATGTTGTACCTATAGGTAGGTAAGTACTTATAGTTACCTACGTTCGTGTGTGGAATGCCGTCTGCCTGCAATTCTCACGACAGACGCCGCCAATACGTAGAGAATGTCGAGATATCACATGTCTTTGTAACTTTAGCATAGCAAACGTCTGTTTGTTTAACCGATTTTAAAAAGGAGGTTGTGTTGTCGCCTAGGTGTTTATCTAACCTAGTAGGTAGAATAGGTAGAGGATCCCAGTGCAACCAGCTAAAAACATTAATTAAGATCAACAAACAATCATGAAGGATGTCGAATGAACTACTAAAATCATCTATTAATAACGACTTTTTTTCTCTGTAAGAACCAAAAACCTATTTAATTTTTTTACTGAAAATTCCGCGAAGTTTTAAACATTAGTTTTAAACAAAGTTTTAAACACTAGAGGATGCTCCAAAATTCTTGGAATCAACACTAATGAGTCTTTTTAGTTAATTCATTAAGCCGGACATAACAAACATGCAACCTATTTAAAGACTTGCCAAAAAGGTTACCCACTTCGTCGAAAGCTGTTTGTGGTTTATTAATCATGTTTTTGTTTTACTAACTAATTGAAAAGGAACAAAACAGCGAGTGGTTATAACGAAACTGGGGCGACCGCATACCATTACTGATTTTGATTAATCACCGAGTATTATGTACTTCGGCGAAGATACTACATAACTGTGTAGGTATAGGTACTGCTAACAGGTACCTAGTTAACAGACAATAATGTAGAAATGAATAAAGTTTATCATTTTCCTTCAAGTCAATGACCTATCTACGTAGTACTTAGCCGTGTTTGTGAATATTTTCTTTTGTATTATTTACGTTTACTTAAGTAGCTAGGCATATCGGTTCTCATAACATCCTTTGTAACTGCAAACTACTTGGAATGCGAAACCAAAGTAATGAACTGCTTATCTAAACTGACTTCCAGGAATCGAACTGAGGATTGGAACTGTTTAGTCACCCTAGCCGACCAGTAACCACAATGAGATTACCGTTAATCAAAAATATTCAAACAACGCTTTTTGGTTTTGGAATGACTCCAATTCCAATGCAGTGACAAATGATGGGTGTAATGCGACTCGCAAAGTTCAATGACTTCCAGAAGATTTATACCTATAATTGTACGCAGTACAGATTACGTAAATAACTGCCTACCAGGCCACCGATAAGCTGCACTTTCAATCTAAAAGTAGTTTCCGCGTAATATAATGCCAACAACATTAAATTTCAACATGTGGAAACAAGGAGGTAATCACAATAACATTTAAAATGTATGTTAACGATTTACCGGATGTTAGTAACATTGTTTTGTTTATGTTCAGTGCAAAAAATGTCTGTAAGAAAGCATTGCAAAACATAAAATTGTTTATAAGTAAAATAACACATGCTTACTTATTCAACACGATTATTTCAAAACATGATTAAGTATGTAAATACAATGAATACGCACGAATTATTATAATACAGTATCTGCTGCTTATCTAAGCTAAAATTATAAACATGAACTTCATTAATCAATACATATCCATACAAAACAAGTTTGATTATTTTTATTTATTTATCTTTAAATCACACAGGTAAGTATGTTATAATTTAAGCCTCACAAAACCGTTGCAATGGTTTGAAATGTAAACTTTTTAAAAGATTTTCTAAAGGTTAACAGTAGCTGGTTGCTAATTGACCTTGCACAAGATATTATTTATTAATAATTCATTAAAAATTGATTAAACTCTGCTAATTAACAACATAGATTAGTCAGGGAAAATTTCTATGAAGTAGTTATATTTAGATATGAAAGTAGCGTGGGTGCGCATGTCACCCAGGCCCAGTACCTTGCTCCCGTTTGTCTGGTTGAACCGGAATCTGTACTAGATAGAGTTGAAGTTGTTACTGACAGTAATTTGTTTTCCTATACCTACCAGTTAGCCACTCTCCACTAACCCTGTTACTCACAAAATTAGTTTTAAATATTTTTAGACCTGTAGAATGCCTTTGATGTATAGAAAGAAAGGTATATACCGTAAAGGTAGATGTAATCGCGTATCGTAAGTAGGAAAATGTCTTTTTCGTGTAAAAAGGACGTTTTTCAGTCGTGTGGAATAGGTAGGTATTTGAAAGTTATTATCTGCAAAGATTTGGAACAGGAGTACCTCAAGGGTCTATATTGAGACCTATCTGATTTTGTAATTATTTTAATCTTTAGTAAACATCATTATTTGTATAGAGATGCATTATGATGATATGATATTGAGATTCAAATCTCCAACTTTTAAAATTATTCTTTACGGTGCTGCAATTTTGGCGACGTTAAGAAAAAAAGGAGACCCTGTCAGGTAAGAACAAATTTTTAACAAAAGATTTTTTTGTTATGGCATTGAGAGCCTCGTGTTTAATTTTGGTAAAATAGAACGATGGTACGGGTACAAGTTTCAGGTAAGAACTAATTTTTAACAGATTTTTTTGTTATGGCATTAAGTGCCTTGTATTCAATTTTGGTGAAATAGAACGATAGTACGGGTACAAGTTTAGCTAATACTAATAATCTATAATGTAACATCTTTACACTGCGTCATTAGAGATAGACATGTATGTTAAAATAATTATTAAAGTTAAGTCATCATAAAACACGCAGTACCTTTTTGTACCAGGATACCATGAGTCAAAGTGATCGTCATCAGAAACACGTTATTGGCCATTTCCGTGGTCTTTTAAATGTATTTAATTCACCATTTATAAATGGCAAACATGTAAGTAATTAGCAGATATTCATCAACAGTGTAGTTATAAGGTAATCTAATAAAGAATACTGTACGTTTACAATTAAATAGTCATCGGACATCATCCATTAGATGTTAATAAAGGAAATGATTAATCCATTTTGTCGTTACTAATTAATTTAGCGATTAATAAACATATCATTGATTTTGAATAGATAATGGTTACCGAACGTTCTCGTTTCTGAGTTTGTGATGATATAATCTACACATACTTAACAATGGCACAAATGAGTAAATAAAAGACAACAAGACCGTATTTACTACCTCTAGAAAGTATTGAAGACAGTATTGATTACAGCTAAAAATAAGGTGTCTCATTATAACTAATAATTACTTGAACGAAATATATGCAAGGGCTCACGTAAATTCACTGTCGCAGATTATGTTGACCCACTAATACTAAGCTGTATATAATCAGATGACACGCACTTAATGGATCGCTAATGTTTTGTTTATTCTTCCATCATTGTTTATATTGGTGTGTCATAATTAACAATGGCTGAATAAACAGACGAAGCGGTTGCGTGTGGCCTTTTGCTTGGGACTTCTTTGTTGCGATATTCCGCATTGATACGTCAGTCATTGTAGCTGTAGCGTTAGCTTCGATAACGGGCAATATACTCGTATACACTAGTAGTGGGCGCTTGTGAGCTTTGTATGTAAACAATGCCTTTGTTTGTCTGCTACTGGAGACGAGATATCAACGAGAAATGACAGGGAATCGGATTCACATTTCCAAGAGCAGGCATTTAATTAGCTATTGTTAGAAACCCACTTGAATGAAATTGAAAGGAATATATTATGAATCGAGGTGCTTAGTTTCAGTGTCAGGGATTGTGCAAGCTATTGAATATGAGATTTCTTCTACTACAGGTTCAAAGGTAATAATCGAACAGAAATTATGATGGGTAATATTATTGACCTTCGTTGCTGCAGACCTTTCAAAATTGATCGAACAAGTGCAGCTTGCCAAGTTTATGCGGCATTGACGTGTGTTATATTTGTTTTAACATTTGGTCGTCATTCAAGCGTGTATTATATACCTAGTTAGTTAGAATTGACCTTAAATGAATGTATTACTAACGGTTGCGTGTATGAAATACCTTGATCTTAAAACACGATATAATTCAAAGAAACCTTATACCTGTACGGTTTGTTCTGGACTAAAATAAATACTTATTCGTTGAAATGATTTGTAACATACTTAGGTTACAACATTTTGGAATTATCTGGCGTGCCCGAAGTAGGTCAGCAGTACGCATCTAAAAATAGATTTGTTTGAAGCTTTTTTGACCTGGTTCTGTTTTTCGGTACAAAAGTTTTATCATGTAAATACTTGAATCTGTCTGAAATATTGGAAAGATTTGCTCTTTTTGTTCAGCAGATCAGTAGCCTTGAAATGTTAGGATCAAGTTTCCAGCCATTAACTTTCTTAGGTAAACTATTATTTAATTTGTATGCTTTGTTAATACTAATAATTTAATGACTATGATAATGGTATTTGTCTGTATCTGATAAGCGAGTGACAGCATGGCACAGTTACAAGTTACTTAGTTTGATAAATAGGATTTCCACTTTTATATTGTTGTGTGGGATGGGGAAAGGCTAGTTTCGTTGGACGGTTAGGTCCGAAGATTAATGAATTTTGTCACTATTTTTGTAATATTTTATCCTTAAACACATAAAAGAACACAACGTGAAATCAATGTGTGTAAGACCATTACGCTACGCTTATCTATTTGCACCACCCTATCGCAAAGTCCTCGAGTGTAATCAACCGTTGTTTACAAATTATTAGGCTTGTTTGAGCCTGGTAATTATGTAAATGGTAAAACTAATGTTTTCTTGAACGCATAACATATAATGCTTCTCGTCTGTTATTTACTAAGCGTGTGTTTGTTATGAAATAACTAAGAGCAGGTCCGTAATATTGGCAAGACGGTAATATGCATGTTCGACGTGTTATGTGTGTTAGCCCTGTGGTGATGGCGTTTGGCGGTGGGGAACACAGTGCCGTGGCTACGTGACCGGGCCGGACCGGCCGTTAGTGTCGCTGCTGTGTTATCAAACATCTACTGCACACTGATGTTACTACAACAGCTCGCTACGTCCGTTGCCATCACTGTGTCTGACTCATTTGCATATTCAATTTTGTTTGTTTATGAAATTCTCTGCTTTCGAAAGTTCTATATTTTTTGATGATGTCTGCAGTATATGTATGGGCTATCTGCGTATTTCTAAAAATTGTATGTTATAATTCAAGAAAATAATAAGTACCTGTGTCGTCGCAGCAATCCACGGCGCGCTGGGGACCCACTCGGCCCTGCACCGTCATTGTCCAGCTTCTCTGGAGAGCGGAACAGCTTACGAAAGGCAGCTGCCACCTTTTCCTTTGACCGGGACGTCATGATGCACTAACTGAATCACAATTTCTTTAGCTGCACTCAATTCTTTTAAATAATTATTCAACTTTCACACGATGTTTATTTTATATCCGCACGTCTGTCGCACGTCTACGCGGCATGTCACGAAAACGTCAAAATATTTTTTCGAATGCACGGTCGGTCTATGCAGTCAGTAATCGTGTGTTGGGCATATGTTACATCAGTGGAGGCGTCTCGCACGGCGAGGGTCCGTGATGTGCGGCGTCTACAGCGCTGCACGTGCGACTACGAAGCGAGAGCGGCGATGAAATCGAAACTTGGCACGCCGGAGGAGGTCGGTTATCGCACTTGGACGGATGCGTAGTGGAGCGCGCGCGTGTGTGTCACAGTGCGTCGGCGCATGTCCCGCACGACCGTCGGCCGTCGCTGCACGCCGACAATGACCGCGGCTCGCACAGCTGCGCCCGAGTGCGCCCGACTAACAGGAACTGTACAGGTTCCCAGAGTGCGTCGACGTTGATCCACTTGCCTCACCCTAATTCTTCAAAACTTCGTCATCGCTTTGTCTCGTCACACTGTAAAACCAGTAATTACTTCAAAAAATTGTGACTCATCAGGAAAATTACGTGAACACTTAATTATTTTGAATATTTCTTTTGTATTACCTAGTCCTACTACCATCTTTCAACTTAATTATTCTCAGAAAAGATGCAGAAAAGTCTTTGTTTTCGGACATAGGTGCCTATGTAGTTCAACAGGGACAACCTATCTACCCGCTACTTTTACATTTATGATGCAAATAACTTTTATTACATTCGAATAATTAGTATGATGTTTCTGTACGTAATTTTCACTAAATCTTTTCCCTCTAATTTTTACTAATACGATTGGGTAGATATTTTGCTTTCTAAATACTTTTTCTTGTAAATAGGTGTTTAGTGTCTACTAATTAATGCAAAGTTCCAAGGCAGTATTTTTATTTTCCTTACTTTATATTCACACAACAGAGAGCTCATAACATAGGCTAATTAAAAAAATTTTTATAAAAATCATAGTCATAGACCTACCTACATAGATATAACTTGCGAATATTTTTGAAATTTTATTGTAGGTACATATTTTAGGCTCCTAGGGATGTGTGGTAACAGGCGTTGCACCGTAGAGGCTCCGGAGCAGGTGTCTTTTAGAGGACCTGGTGCCTCTATTCAGGTGTTGAGGGTGGCCACAGGGGTGGTTTTAGTGAGTTAAAAATCCCACACACCCTAGTCTTTTATCCCCAAAAAGGCTGGGCGCCTTTTGAAGGTTTCCCCCCGTCATCAAAAAAAAGGTACATGTTTTAGGCTAAAATTATATGTTCAGTTTGTTTATTTATTTAAAGGTATTGGTCTCTCAGAGACAATACCGCCCAGTGATATATTTCATAAATTGCGTTCATATGGACCGCCAGACTCTGACCATTTTTATCCATACAAACAATGTTATGATTTGGTTTAGTGTGCAAAAATTACTTTACAAACTGTATAAATAAGTAAGTTTTCGGTTAGAGAGAGTTTGAGCAGTTCGCGTGAATCGTGATTAATCGTTCTTATCTAACATGGCTTTGATCTCCAGTGAATATTCAACATCTGTTAAATCAATTTAAGATGCGATACCCTCTTTTGCCAGTTAATCTTATTTAAATTGGTGTAACTAATCGTCTATACCCTCCCTAAATAGATGTACATTTTAAGATAACTTCGATGCAAATACGTTGTATCTCTATTCGCTTAAGCTTAGTAGGTACCTACCTATTATTATAAAGTAATGTGTGTTTGAATATTGATTGTAGATTATTGATTGTATGTAACAACATGCAGATGAAAGTTGGTTGTGCGTCATACTTTTTTGCATCAAATAAACCAGAAAATATATGTACAAAACTTCGCTTATAAACAATTAATGAGAGTATGTATCGTTATCTTTGGACTCTTGTAGATTAATCTAGTAGTGGAAACGAATAACTTCGGTTTGAGGATATTATTAATTTACCAATTCATTGTAAACCACAGATAACACTACATTTATCAATTCCAATAAAACATGAAGTCGAGAAAACTATACGTCAACAAAACTACGGCTAACGCTATTCTTGTGAAAAGCAGCCACGTTTTCTGCATACGTATTTAGAATTAATAATTAAGTAGGCACTGCAGTGTTCTAGTAGTTAGTTGGTATTTCTAGACCGAAGTGTCCTCGAGCTGACCTTGGCATTCAGTTAGGGACGACCAATAACCGGAGCCTGTCGAGTTATTGGCAAGTTGCCCGACATGATTATGTCCCACAGGACTAAAAGGCTCATTGTGGAGCCGAATAAATTGATCCGATCAATACCAACTCAAAATACATGACACTTTTTACAACAACCCTGATTTATGAATAGAATCAATCCATCAATGATGTCACTGTGTTTAATTATTACGATTGTTTCTACTTATTATATTGTTATTTGTTGAATGAATGTAAATAAGATGTCTGTAAATGTATGCTTTAATTAAACAAAGTACGGTGGTATTTCGTTCGTACCTGGGTGTGTACAACAAAGAAATATTTTTGATGTAGGTAATGGAAGTCGCTCTACATTGCCAATTAGATTACGTTTCTAGACTTTGAACTGGCTCTGACACCATAATTAGATCTTATCGCTGTCGTTTGCCTCCGCCCACTTTACCAGAGAGCTTTAATAAAGGGATTCCTAAAATAAATCAGGATAATATACCTAAGTGGAGAGCGTAGGTGTCCTAGGGTATTTCTGTGGGCAGTTTGTAATTTTGTACACAGTCGTTCTAGATAGATAAGCGGTTAAGTAGTCTGTACTCATTTCAATAATTTGGATAGAAAAGGCACGTAAGTATTTTTAGTATTACTGATGTCGCTTTCGATTGTGTTACAGGAAATTTTTGAGGATTCATTGAGATTTCTTTCTTTATTCATTGACGACATAATATACCTCCTATCATATTGTTAGATTATGTATTTATGTAGTACCTAACGCGTGAAACGTTTTAAAGGGGTGTCCATGTAGAAATCAGGAATCTATGTACCGTCAGACACGAGAAGGCTTTCTACATATCAGGACAAGTACATAAACTTTTATAACTGTATACTCCAGTCAGAAGGTCTAAGAACGTTAAAAGACTAGTTTAACAGGTATAAAATAAAAATAGGTATACTTAGATCTTCGTTCTAGCAAAACAAGCGAACCGACCTACTCCTTGATGTTATTATTAATGTCTAATAATAACTTATTAATAATATTATCCTTTACAATCCGTTTATTGTTAAAGGAACTAGAAGACTGCACCTAATGGATAGTCCTTGGGAAGGCTTCTTGGTTAATGGTGATAATAATAAACTCTACCTATGTATTTTTTATAATAACTATAGTGAGATTTACTAAATTAAATAAAAAATCGCAATTTACTCACGTGAAAATACTCAGTAACCTAATTAGTAGGTTGCGCGCCGCGACTGCGCATGCTGCTCATGAGGAAGAGCCCCTCAGTGGCTCGAAACTAGTAGAGCTTCAGTATTTTCACGTGATTAACCCGCGATTTTAAGTTAGTCTACCTATGTATGTATACTTAGGTAGAAAGTGGTTTGGTCGGCGATAGAAGAAATCTGTTAAATAAATATTAATAAGTTAAAATAACTAGGTACTAGTGTAGATCGAGCTAAACTGTGTACTTAACATTTTTAGCCATCTGGTTGTAGCTGGGGCGTGCTGCTAATTTTTCTTAATAGCATATGAATAGAACAAATCGTTAGGTAGACAACCAAACAATTTGTGCATGAACACACGTTCCCCGGTTAAATGGATTTTAAATGGTTTTCAGTACATTTACACCAGTATGGAAAATAGTTTCTGGCTTTGAGATAGTGGATAAGAGTAATGTAGATATCAAGCAGATGTAGGTATCTTTTGAGGAAGACAGACAGACAGATACATAGATTACGTCTAAACTTAAGTAAAAATTAATTGAGAGCTTCAGCTTACTTAACATGAAATCAGCACCAGTTATTTCTAATTTAGCCAACAATGGGTTTATTTTAAGGTACCTACTCCTATTTTTACCGACTTCATTCACCACTTTTTTTTAAGAGGAGAAAATCATTGAATAGTCTACTCCCGCCTGGGTGAGGTGGGAGGGAGTGTCAGACTCTTACTGACTAAAAACTACCCCGTTCCTTCTCCTGCACTTCGAGCCGGAGCCCCGGTAACCAGTTAGGGTCTTTGCGACTTCATTCACCACTATAGTGTTATTTCAATTTATTTTTATTTATAAAGGAGTGTAAGTTCGGAAAGTCAATAGATTTAGTTATTTGTTTAGTTACTTCCACCACCACCATCACGATATAATAATTACGTAAGACCCAGACACGCAATGAATGCGGTAGTCATTCAAAAACTTGTTGTAGTTGTCAATGTTGTATTAATTATAATAAACTGCTCCATATCTATGTCAATACATGTTATTACGTCATAATCATGCATCACTACTACATTATGTAAAATAATTAAGTTTTAAAAATAGGTCTTAGATGTTGAACGACATTGTAGATAGGCTCAGTGCGTAATAGGACTTAGGTAATTGATCATTACTAATTTTTATTGTTCTTAAATTTCATTTTCTCCTTACTATGGCCCTACCGGTAAATATATCCTATCGTGGGATATGTCTCACTTCATGTGAGATCTCTTTCACGATTTAGTAGGTATGCTAAGTTTACTAAAAATCGTGGGTTACTCGCGTGAATATGCTGAGAAAAGCTCTACTAGTTTCGAACCACAGAAGGGTTTAAGATTATTATTGTACCTCGATATATAAAAATACACTCTTATCCTTGCCTCAAATCAGTTTTCCATTGTCTCTAAGGAGTTTAGCGAAACAAGAACGCATTTTCTTCGCTTAACATATTTCCACATCAATCTTTGTCTCTCCATGCAAGCATTTTGTTAAGCCGCCTCATTTGTAAAAAAAATCCTT